AGTTGTTCATTTATTACACAGAAAATTGCTCGGGGGAAGATGCCAGAAAAGAACATAAACTGAGCACATGTGGCTGAAAAAGGTGGGAGCTGATTGGGGTGAGCAGAGCAGGAAGCAGATTATTGTGGTGAAGGAAGGAGGCTGAGTACAGATGCATCTTTCTTTTATGCAGCTGCTAATTATAAACATTTGACATAAGATTTCTGGCCCAAGCGGCTGTTTCCCTCTGCTGGTTAACCAACCCATTTTTCTTCAAATTGGCTTCATTTTCTTTGCTGTGTGAGGACTTAAATCATGCCAAGTTTGAAAAGTTACATTCAGACAGTGAGTTTAAGATATTTTAATAGATAATAATTGCTTCAGTAACAAATGACATATTTTCAACCATACCTCGATACCAGCTAAACTCAAACTTTAAAAAAAAAGCACAGTTCAGTTGAAGGCAATTTTAGACATTTTTTTACCAAGAGGAGAGGACTCTTTTAGCATTTGAAAAGCAGAAGAAACTGCAAATTTCTCATTTTTAACTAAACTATAGTGCTCGGTATTCCCAAGAGAGAGACTGTGATATCCTCTTCAGGAGGGGGGGGGGTCTCAAACTTCAAATCTGAAGGCCATCCCCTGCTGGAGCAACTGCACAATCTGACCCTGAAATCCTGGTGTGGGTTATATGTTACTGTTCCTCAAGCCCCACCCTTCCCATCATCACGCTGCCCTCTCCCCCTATAGCATTCTATTCCCCAAGCACAGCTTCAGGGCTCACTGGGGATGGGGGTGAGGAGTCTGGCCTGGAAGCAGCAGTCAACCCTTCTCTTCCCACCCAAGGCAGCAGGAGTGCACTCTGTCTCTCAGCACTTGGTGAGTACACTCACTTGCTCCACTGTGCTCCATGGCTCCAGCCACGGCAGAAAGCATGGGGAGGGAGGGGGGCAGACTGCTGCTGCTGCTACACCACATCAGACCATCCAAATGATCCCTGAAATCACCTTGAGAGATGGGGTACCATGGGTGGAAGCAAGGCAGGAGGAGCAGGGCTTAGGGAATGGAACAGGCAGCTTCCCTTCCTTCCACCAAGACTCCTGGGTTGGATTATGCAATTGCTGTGGCTGCGGATGGTCTGCAGGCCAGGAGTTTGAACCCTTGCTCTTCAGTAAGGGTATGTCTACACGTCATTCCTCTCTTTTGAGAGAAATGTAAATGCAGACACCCGAAATTGCAAATGAAGCGAGGATTTAAATATCTCGCACTTCATTTGCATAATCACATTATGGTGCTATTACAGAATAGCGCTATTTCAAGAGAAAAACGGGGTTATTTCAAAATAAAACCCTTCCCTCGAAATAACCCTTACTCCAAAAAATGAGGAGTAAGGGTTATTTAGAGAGAAGGGTTTTATCTTGAAATAACCCCGTTTTTTCTCTTGAAATAGTGCTATTCCACAATAGCGCCATAACACGATTATACAAATGAAGCATGGGATATTTAAATCCCTGCTTCATTTGCAATTTCGGGTGTCTGCATTTACATTCCTTTCTCTTGAGAAGAATGAAGTGTAGACATACCCTAACTGTGGTTGTTTGAGCTGTGTTGTCCAGATCAGTTTTTGCTTCTGGTTTGTGTGCACCTGACAAGCAGCAATCCAGGTTCCTTTTGGGCAAGAAGCTCACCTGAGCTCATGTCTTTGCACCCCATCTGCCCTCTTCCACACCCAAGGTCAGAGTGGGCCCAGCATGGCTGCAACAGAAATAAGGGCACAATGGTGGCAGGAAAGCGAAGGAAGCAAAGTTCAGGGACTGTGAACCACAGTTAGGCTGTGTCTAGACTGGCAAGTTTTTCTGCAAAAGCAGCTGCTTTTGCAGAAAAACTTGCCAGCTGTCTACACTGGCCGCTTGAATTTCCGCAAGAACACAGACTTCCTACTGTCTGAAATCAGTGCTTCTTGCAGAAATACTATGCTGCTCCCGTTCGGGCAAAAAACCCTTTTGTGCAAAAGGGCCAGTGTAGATAGCTCAGATTTGTTTTGCACAAAAAAGCCCCAATCGCAAAAATGGCGATCGGGGCATTTTTGCGGAAAAGCGCGTCTAGATTGGCACGGATGCTTTTCCGCAAAAAGTGCTTTTGCAGAAAAGCATCCATGCAAATCTAGACGCTCTTTTCCGCAAATGCTTTTAACGGAAAAGTTTTCCGTTAAAAGCATTTGCGGAAAATCATTCCAGTCTAGATGCAGCCTTACTGTTTAGGGTTGCCATCTTTTTAATAGCTAGTAATCGGGCCTCCAAGTCCCCACCTATACTCTGCCTTTTCTCCCCAAGGTCCTTTTGCAGAAAAGCATCCATGCAAATCTAGACGCTCTTTTCCGCAAATGCTTTTAACGGAAAAGTTTTCCGTTAAAAGCATTTGCGGAAAATCATTCCAGTCTAGATGCAGCCTTACTGTTTAGGGTTGCCATCTTTTTAATAGCTAGTAATCGGGCCTCCAAGTCCCCACCTATACTCTGCCTTTTCTCCCCAAGGTCC